GAAAGTAAGTAAAAATAAAAAAAACAAAAAAAACAAAAAAAAAGACAACTCGTAAAGTCCTCAGTTTTGAAGGTCCAGTCTCAACTTCCTTCCACCCTGTAAAATAGTAAAAATTATAAAAATTTACATATAATATTTATAAATTCTTAAAACTTTATTAACGAATTTTACACACCTCCTGTTTTCGTATTTTCCTTGCTTTCAAGCCGGATCCAAAAGGTATTATTTTATCATCTTGAGCAGCCTATAATTATAAAAAATGAAACTATCTTAATGTTAAAAAAACATACATGTAAAGTTAAAATATGGGACATTCTCTAAAATACCATTATTTTTGTTTTTAGGACACTAAACCCTACACCCTAAATATTATTTTAAATTTTCAAACTCTAAATTATAAATTCTAAACACTAAACCCTACCCCCTAAATACTGTACCCTAAATTGCAAATAATCAACCCAAACCAAAGAAATTCTATACCATTGAACAATAATTTGATTTTATTGGTATTTTTGGAAAGCAAACCAAAATGATGGTATTCGAGGAATTCCTCTTAACATATTGAGAAGTTATTTTAAAATAATACCTTTCTCTTCATGTCTTTCTATTTGCCTATTAGTTCAGAAGGTTCCTCTCGATTAACAGCATTTGGCTCAAAGTAAAAAAAACACAAAACTATATTTAAATTAAGAAAATGTAATAAACTCCTATTTATATTGTCTTTAGAAATTTATTTAAAGAAACGAATCAAGATAAATATACATACCACTTTGGATTGTGGAATTGCCACCTGAATGAAAAAAAAAAGACATAACAAATTAACATAGAACATAAATGGAGTATAATGCAAAAAACAAATTAAAAACTCTATGTACCTTGCTCTCGTTTGATAAGAAAATATGACGGGCGAAACACAAATTTTCTGGCCTTTGCATAGCTGAACTTATGGTTCCCCACATCCAATTTGAGGATAATCCCAATTTTTTTACAATTTTTCCTTTTTGTACAAATATTTTACAATTGAGTTCAACTTCTCATCTTCTTCCCGACTCCACGACTGAATTAAATAAAGAAAACACTATTTAAAATCTTTAAAATAAGATACTGAAAAGAATCTTTAAAGATTACGAAAAGGCTACCACTACCAAAAAAAACTCAAATCAACTACTACCAAATTAAGGCAAACTATAATAATTAAAGTTTCCAATAGGTGCATGAAAACATGAATCTTTAGAGACTACGAAAAGCATCGATAGTGTCACCATATCATTATCTCATTCTATCGATCTAATACGAAATCTATTGATTGAAACTTTATCGATTACAAAAAAAGAACGCACATTTGAATCTATCAACTGTTGAAATCTTTCCGCCAAAGGAGACTTCGGTGAAAGCATGGAACTAGCAATTTGTATCCATTTTAACGTCTCATATTCCTTCACAGCATTCACGAGAAGACAGTCGTCTTGATACGTCGAAGCCGTGAGAAAATCGACGAGAGCAAATGAATCTAGTTCAAGAAAGATGAAAAAATGGTATAGGGATTAAATAAAAAAAATGATATTATGATGAAATTATTTAATGATCTACATTTATATAGTAGTTGCATAGAGGATTAAAGGGGTAAATTAAAAAAAAAAAGTAATAAAAGAAATACAAAAAATATAGACTGTAGGTAGAAAATGTAGTATTATTTGAGTTGGGCCTAGCCCATAGTAATTTGTCTAGGCTGAGTCGAGAGCGTTTAAGAAGACTGGCGTGTGGGTCAACGCGCGTCTCCTTCGTCTTTCTTCGAGGAAGGTTTGAACCGGATATGGTTTCCGGCGGCTACTCTTTAGTCGGTCTACTCACGCGATGGGTCTCCTCTCCGGCAGGGGTTGTGGCTTCGTTGAGGTGTTTGGACGGGTCTGCTGTTCTCTTTACCGAGAGTTTATTGCTCACTTCGGATGAGGCTTTTCGCCGATGGTCTCATCTCCTAGCTGTTCCTGTCCTGCGTGGTGGAGCTAGAAGGTTAATTAAGGTGGCGCAATCCGAGGCTGATTCTCTGCGGTCTGCCGCCGTGTCTCAATTTTGATTCCCGCTCCTCGTCTGGGTCGCTGGTGCAGTCTGAGTGGCGGCCTTATGGTGTGGCAATTCATGGACTGGACTGCTTTTAGGCATAAATTGTTTGCTGGATTTGATACGTGGAAGAATTGTTCTTCGCGATTTTGGCAACAGATTCGCTTTGTGTAGCCGAGTTGAGTACTACAAGTTCAATGATTCTAGAGATCGACCCAAGCTCAGTGAAGGAGTCGATTTATGATCACGTCTCGCCTCAGATTGAAGAGTTTCAGGTACCAGACTCTAATTTGGAACCTAGCCTTAGAATTTGCAGAGAGTTCCTGGATATTAAGAAGAATTTGCCATCTCAAATTGCTTGGACATGTGTCCAAGACAAGAGTCTTGCACACCAATTGCTCGATACAATGTCTTTGAGTATTAGACCTGGGAAACACTTGATGAAACAGAGAAAACTTTTAAAGTCGTGGAAATTTAAGTTCAAAAGCAGGCTAGAGAAAACTATTAACTGAGAAATTAAAAAAAAAAATTTCATGCAGAGATTTGATACATCTATGCTTTAAGAGCTTATTAGTAATAGCTAAGTCTTATAAATTAACCATGGTTTGGTGTGGGTAATGTCAAGTAACTATGGTTGGTTTAGAGAGTTGTCATGAGTCTTTATCTATATAAGAAGTCTTAGAGAAATGAGGGAGGTTCATCGGGTTTGTGGGTTAATTCTGGGGGAGTGGGAGGAGCTCCATTAACAAAATCCTCAGTTTCTTTTGTAATTCAGCAAAGTATCTATAATAATATCAGTTTCTATAAGCAAATCGTATCAAACATGGTATCAGAGCGGTACGATCCGAGGGAAACCGGTGATGGTTTTGTGGAGGTTCCAATCTTCTACGGCGATGAAGATCCAGAGATGTGGATTTCATGGGTTGAAGATTATTTCACTGACCATGGATTTTCGGAAGAGACGAAGATTTCTTTTGCATATGGATTCATGGAAGATGTTGCTCTGTTGTGGTTTCAGGAATCACAAGCTGTGTTCACTAGCTGGAATGAGGTCAAGATCGGTCTCCTTCAACGATTCAGAAAAGGAAAAGATAGCATCGTGGCTGTTCTAACGGAGAGTGACGATTTTGATTCTAAGATGAGCAGATGGTCGAGCTGTTTGGACAGGCTAGAGAAATATATCCTTGACACTGGTGAGCGTTTTGAAAAACCAAATCTGAAGGATGAGGAGAAGGAGATTACTGTGTTTGTGGATGATAGTACAATGAGAGATGAAACACACCAGCAAGGAGAGAAAAATCAGACAGATCTAGAGATGACTAAGGATGCATGCCAAGTGTTCGATGAAATTTCTATCAAGGGAAATAAGAAGAAGACGAAGAAGAAGAAGAGATGGAAAAAACTTCCCAAGACTGTTGAAACTGAGAGGCATTTCAATATCGATGGAGATAAAGGTTTTGTGAAGCTGTTTACAAAGAAGAAAGAAAGGAAGAGGAGGAAGTTTACCCAACCTAAAAGATCAAAGTACAAATTTGGTAAACATAATTTTTGTGGGAGTGCAGCACGAATATACAACGGACTTAAATCCATAGAAACTTCAAAAAGCTCAGCCACACAAGGAGACACCAAGAAGAGGAAGAGATGGAAGAAGCTGTCAAAGACATATAATTGTTGTAAGAGTATGCACTCTCGGTGGTTATACAACCAGCAGGTGATCAATATACAGTTTATGTCGATATTCACAAAGAAGAAGAGAGGAAAGGGAACAGTGATGGAATTTGAGAGGAAGGGCCACAAGTACTGTGAATACATTCACGGACTAGTGTATACAAGGCTATCATTGGGATATATAACTGTAACGAATAAGCGTTCCAAGTGGAGGAAACACAAATTCAAGCAGAAAAGCAACAAGCATGAAAAGAGGATCAAAGTGAGGTTCTCTAGAAATCAGGAGTATCACAATACCTGCCAGATGTTTCATAAAAAGTCTTGGAAAGGAGAACATGTGGAGGTAGAGAGGAAGATAGACTGTACCAAGCCACATAAGGTCAAGTTCAAAACTGTAATGCTGGATTACTGGAAAAAAATGGTTATGTTTCGAAGAGTGCACAAGTTTAGAATTAACAAAACGTTGATAGTGAGAGGATTGCCAACGCTTGTCGTGACGAACATGACCACTGACTATACGGCTGCTGTATTAGGATCGTTGAGGTCTCCAAAGAAAAGTCTAAAGAGAAAAATGAAGATGATGAGTTGGGTTGTATTGGTTTTAGAGAAACAAGACAAACATTCTTATCGAGTGATCATGGATGGGCTGATAATGGGAGTAGAAGCAGTTAAGGAGAATAGGTTTCGGGCTGGAAAAAAGAGATACAGATTTCGACATATACACAAGAAGAAGGTAATGATGTTCTTAACTATTCATAAAAAGAGAGCTTTTGTTGAGCATGTTCTCAGAGTGAAGAAGAGAGCAAGGTTGAAACGTTAGAGAAAACTTGCTAAGCCCAACAATTGTGTATGTGCACTGATTTGTGTAAAACTATTATTTAGATTGATGACAGTTGATAAGAAGCAGTCCATGACAAGCGGGAAGAGAGCCAAGTTTAGAAAGAAGCACAGGAAAAGGAACACTTGTGTGTTGCGTAAATATTTAACAGTTGCAAGTAGTTTTATTTACCTTCACTACTACAAGTGGATGGGCAATTGAATTTCAGACAATGCAGAAAATGGATTTGGCTGCGATTAGTCGAGAAAGAGAAGTTCAGTTCATGGGGATGGGTTTTCGGGTTGTCTATCTAATCACGGTTGGTTCACGGGAGGAAGAAAAGAGTAGCCTTGCTTGGCAAAATCCTTATGGACAAGGAAGACTCTGGGAGCTAAAACTGTTGTTCCCACATGACGATGTGATGCCCAGACAAATAATCTTATTGCCGAGGTCAGTGCCCTCTTCTGCAGAGAATATTAGACATGAAGAAATTAAAGACGCTCTGACGGGTGGGACTCTGCTACAAGAAAGAGACGTAATATTGGCACAGCTAAAGGAACATCTCCAAGTCTATTTCGAGCTGAGTGTGGAGGCGAGGGGTTATCTAAGAACAGTGCAAGGAAGAGTCATTGATGAAGTGCAAGTGCTGCCAGATTATGAATGTCCTTGGGAGCTCAAAAAACTGGGTTGGCTAAACAGTTTTCTCTTTCCAACCTTGAGGACAAGGTTGTTTTCAAAGGCAGGGGTATTGATACATCTATGCTTTAAGAGCTTATTAGTAATAGCTAAGTCTTATAAATTAACCATGGTTTGGTGTGGGTAATGTCAAGTAACTATGGTTGGTTTAGAGAGTTGTCATGAGTCTTTATCTATATAAGAAGTCTTAGAGAAATGAGGGAGGTTCATCGGGTTTGTGGGTTAATTCTGGGGGAGTGGGAGGAGCTCCATTAACAAAATCCTCAGTTTCTTTTGTAATTCAGCAAAGTATCTATAATAATATCAGTTTCTATAAGCAAATCGTATCAAGATTATGAGGAGCTGAACACATGCTTCTAGCTGAATTACCAGCGAGTTTATACTCATCTTGTGGAGAGACTTGTCTGTTCTCGCGAGTACATGGGATGGTGAGAGACTTACTTCATCAATTCTTGTTTTTTTTAAGAAGCTTGAGGACAAGCTTCTCCGAAAGGGGGAAGTATTGATACGGTTGGTGTAGTGGCCAATGACGTGAACATTGAGCTGGTGTTTTGAATAGAAGCCTTTGTTGCAATTAGAAGGTCTGCAGTTGCAATATGGGAGTATAAATAAGAGAGATGAGTGTCGAGAGTGAGTACGCTTAGTTTGATGAATGTATCTTGAGCGATGTGCTTGAGCTCAAGTGATCTATGTTGATCGCCATTGTTGTTCTTCAAATTGAGTGATGATTTGTGTTTGGTTTGTCAATTACAATAATTCTCAAATCATTTTCTAATTGAATATCATTGTTGTTCTTGAGTTCGAGTTTATAAGAATCTAACAGGTACACATATGTTTCTGTGAAAACAAGATTCGGAAGTTGCAGCTTGGTTTTTGAGGGTAAAGACGCACAAGTGTTATAATGTTTTAAGGAGAAGGCATGGAAAAATGAGACACGAGTTGGAGATTTACCTTGTTGAGTTTTATAATTTAGAGCTGCAAGTTATCAATGATAGGTCTCTGTTTATATGAATGTGTCAAGTTGTTGAGCACTGCAAATGTACTGTGGCTAGGAACAATGTTGTTCTAGAAGGTAAAGAAAAAGAGTCCTAGCTCGTCATATATTGCACACTTAAGGAATCCAATATAGCTTTGATTCATATCAGTGAGTGTACTTTGCCATTCGTAGTTTCCAAAGAAATCAACTCTCGGATCTTGGTGATGGTTTAAAATTTTTACCTTCTCCATACAATGCACTGTTTAAATCAGGGAATCAGGGGCCAGTGTTTGCAAACGGATCACTCTACTGGCTCATTCATTGATTTATGCAGTCTCCATGGTCGTCTCTGCATCTCTCAGTCAACGGGATATGAGTCTGAGAGGCAAGACTTTTGGTGGAGGGTTAAAGATAACTCATGGGAGAAGATCTTCTCGATTCACTTACCTTCCACTTACACTTTGTTTGGTATTGAGTATCTGCACTTTGTCACACCTTTGGCCATTTGTAGGGACATACCAATAAGGTCATCCTCGCAGTTAGCGGAGAATATAACCTCGTTTCTCTCGATCTTGATCCTCAATCTAGAGGTTATCATTTGCATTCGTCTTGTTACAAAGGCTTAGCTGTTCCTTATTTTCCAAGTTTATCTCTTTCTTTCTATTGAGAAAAAAGACCTAGCTCTCTTCCTTTGTTGGAATAAAATTATCAACTCTCTCCAAATGGTAGAAACAGAGTTGTTAATATTGAGTCTCATGATCATGGTGACGACTCGGTTCCCAGTTTATTTGGTTCATCTAGCTAGAGATTGTTGGTTTAAACTTCTATTGGGCTTGGTCCAACAACTGGATCTTGGCCTGTTTTGTTCTTAATTTAATTACCATTAACCAAGAAAAATTAATAGAATATATCTCATAGTATAGCTCTTTTGTGTGTGCGCATATTCATATTACACAATTTGAAAACCATATTACAACCCAATTATCAGGGGAGGCTTTAGCTATTTCAGCTTAGTTAAATGGCATTGTCCAAAGACCCATTGTAGTTGATACGATCTCCAGTTATAAGCACCGACGCTAATGAAGAGCGGATGATACACATGACTTGTTATGTTTTGGTTTGTAAACTGAAGTGAAAATAAGAGAAAATCAAATAATGGTTGAATCTCTTTGGTATCTCGCAAGCAACAACTTATATTTATAAGGTTTTGTTCAAATGTTTTGCATTGAATTTTTCTTAAAAGGTCAAACAATTGAAGAAAATGAACCAAAAATAAAAATAGCAATATATTAATTAGCTAGCTTTCATACAAGAATCTAACAAACTTTAAAAATTGTCTACATGATAGTTGTATCATGTGTATTAATATATGATATATTATACTATTATATATTAACGATCTAATTAGATTAAAAGAAATAGAAAAAGTTAGTACAACAAAACCTAATCAAAAGTTTAAGTGAAGAGAAAACGAAGGTTTTGTCTTCAAGCTCATCAGAAAGATACGAACGAGAGAAAAGAGTGGTGCCCACAACCACACCCCCGCATGTGGACACATTTCACCGTTTTAACAGTGACACCCAAACCGTAACCATCCTTGTTAATTAATTTTATAATTCGTGTAATAATAAAATCTTTGATTACATAAAAGATAAAATAAAAATGACAGGCAGAGATAGAGAGGGGACCTTTATTATAGAGAGATACTTTTCAAGATCATCATCATATATGGCTTATTTAAAAAAGTAAGAAGAAGAACACAAAACAGTAGAGAGAGAAAGAGAGAGAGATAGGGCTTTGAGGTTTGTGTTTGTATTATACTAGATAAGAATAGTGTCTTCTTCTTCATCATCCTCATCATCATCATGCATCATCTTCTTCTTGGTTCTTTCTTTAGCTCCGATTTATAGCTTTTTTGACTACTAGTGTTTTTGTTTCTTCTTGGTTTCTTTCTCTTGATCTCTCTCAGGTACACACACACAAAAAAATTAAAAAGAGTTAAACCAAACTTTGAAACTCTTCTTTCTTTACAAACAAAAAACAAAAGTGTATAAAACTCTTAGTTTGTTTTTCTTTGTTTATTATGTCTTGTAGTGAATTGTTTTTATAAAAAAAAATTTCTTCATGTCGTCAATCTCTATGGATTCTTCCTGTTCTTATAATTCATTCCTTCGTTTTCTTCTGTGATTATAATTTTGATTTCTTTCACTATCTTTTTGTTTTCTAACTCTTTGTTTTTTTTTTAAATATTCGTAGATTGTTCTCTTCCACGCAAAGAAGAAGATCTAAAGATGTCGTCATCATCTTATAACACAAGCGTTATTCCTTCATCATCATCCTCTGCTCAGCCTTTCTTCATCACCAGCTCCGGTGTCGGAGATAACGACTTTAACCGGAAAGATCCTTTTATGTCAATGATTCAACAACCTAACTCCTCAGCTCCACCACTCAAGAAACGAAGAAACCAACCTGGAAACCCAAGCAAGTTCCTCTTACATACTAATCTCTATATATTTTATCAGTAATAAGAATCACTATAAGCTTTGAGATAAAACGAAACAAACAAAAATAAGAACCCTAATCTTTTGTTCTTTTTTTTTTCCTATATATATGCCTAGTATCAAGATTCCATTTAATATAGGGAATTGGATCATACATATACGTATGTATATGTGATTTTTTTCTACTTTCTATATGTACAAGTTTGTAATCGTGTGTATCATTTTTGTTCTCGATTTAGGTATCACTGATTAACATTTTGGTCCAATTGGTGACTATATTTTATTTATCAAAGTCTTGAATTAATTGAACAGATCCAGATGCGGAAGTGGTAGCTTTATCTCCAAAGACACTGATGGCTACAAACAGATTCGTATGCGATGTATGCAACAAAGGGTTTCAAAGAGAACAAAATCTACAGCTTCACCGAAGAGGACACAACCTCCCATGGAAGCTGAAACAGAAGTCAACCAAAGAAGTGAAGAGGAAAGTATATCTCTGTCCGGAGCCCACGTGTGTTCACCATGACCCGTCACGTGCTCTCGGAGACCTCACCGGAATCAAGAAGCATTATTACCGTAAACACGGCGAAAAGAAGTGGAAATGCGAGAAATGTTCCAAGCGTTACGCTGTTCAATCGGATTGGAAGGCTCACTCTAAGACTTGTGGTACTAAAGAGTATCGATGTGACTGTGGTACCATCTTCTCTAGGTAACTAATCTCTATCCATTTCATTTAAATAATTTGTTCGTATTTGGTTTAAGTGATGAAACGTATAATATATGTGTCAGTGGTATCTAACTAGATATACGTACCCTCTTATCTTGGTAAAGTATAAAAATGGACCATCTTTATTTTGTATTATATTGAAAAAAAAAAAAAAATCTATTCTAAGTAAAAGCTGCATTCAACACTGCATGTAAAACTTAGCTTATTTACTAATTTACATGAAAAAATACCAAATATATATATAGTCATCTGTGACTGGAATCTTGTACATTTGGCCACGGAATTTGAACCTCGAGTACACCGCCTATCAAATGCTTATATAGTGAACACTATGTACATAGGATCTATCAATGTATTTGTTTGGTTGTTGGTGAGTGTAGTGAATAGAGAAAGACAGTGAATAGAAGAAAGTAAGAGAAAAATAAATTAAAAAATGCTAAATTTGGTCACATGTATGAGTTGGATTTTGTTTTTCCATTTTCCACTTTTGTTTTCTTCTTCTTCACTTTGCAGGTTCCCCTTTTTACGAAACTCCTCTCCATTTGTGGACCCTTTTCTTATCTCTCTATTGACATATACATATATATATATATAGATAGATACACACACAAATAATTTGGTAAGAGTGCGTACGTTACTTAAATTTATTACATTGTTTTGGTGAACATGACTTTAATGCATGCCTCTTTCTAGGGTTTGTTTCTATATTTTCATGGTTTGAGTAAAATACACTTGTTGCAGAATGTGACTGACTTGTATTAACATTCCTGGGTTTTGCATTAAATGAAGAAGGTCTTTCACTAAATTAGCAATTGACTCGATTTCTATATTCTTCTCTTATTCCTCTCCTATATATGGTAGCCACATTAACTCTAACATTTATTATTTATGACTCACGGAATTTTATTTGTTCTTATGTGTAAATATTGTCGACCGTTGTCTAATGTTACATACTCTTTCTTTTTCTTTGTAGACGTGATAGTTACATCACGCATAGAGCTTTCTGCGATGCATTGATACAAGAGACTGCAAGAAACCCTACCGTGAGTTTTACGTCAATGGCAGCTGCTAGTAGCGGTGTCGGATCTGGCGGAATTTACGGGAGACTTGGTGGTGGCAGCGCTCTCTCGCACCATCATATGAGTGGCCATCCAAATTCTGGATTTAACCCTCTCGCTGGTTACAATCTGAACATTGCATCTTCTGAAAATAGGAGAGACTTTGTTCCGCAATCAGCAAACCCTAACTTCTTACTCCAATGCTCGTCGAGCCAAGGAATGTTGACTGCGACTCCAAACAACAATGATCAGAGTTTCATGAACCAACACGGTCTGATACAGTTTGATCCGGTCGACAACATCAACCTCAAGAGTAGCGGTACCAACAACAGCTTCTTCAACCTCGGGTTCTTTCAAGAAAACACCAAGAACTCGGAGACGAGTCTTCCTTCTCTATATAGCAACGACGTTCTTGTTCATCATCGTGAAGAAGAATTGAACACGGGTTCTAACGTGTCAGCCACGGCACTGCTTCAGAAAGCTACACAAATGGGCTCAGTCACAAGCAACGATTCTGCTTTGTTCAGAGGCTTAGCTTCTTCCTCTAACTCAACAAGTTTAATCCCTAGTCACTTTGGTGGAGGACGAATTATGGAGAATGATAATAACGGAAACCTTCAAGGTCTTATGAACTCATTGGCTGCCGTTAATGCCACTGGCGGTGGATCCGGTGGCAATATCTTCGACGTTCATTTTGGCAACAATGGAAATATGAGCGGTTCGGATAAGTTAACGTTAGATTTTCTTGGAGTTGGAGGAATGGTGAGAAATGCAAATCGCGGTGGTGGTGGCCGTGGTAGTGGTAGTGGTCGCGGAGGAGTTTCTTTGGATGGTGAAGCGAAGTTTCCCGAGCAAAACCATCCATTTGGAAGAGGTTGATAGTATCTTATTATTTTATAACTTAATTAGGTGATATAATTTTGTTATTTTACTTGTTTGTTTTTATAATCAAAATATAATATATCTTTTGTGAGCTTTTTAGGTTTGGGTTTGGTTAGAGTCTGTCTTTTATATGACAAAAATATTAATGTAATAAGTTTGTTATTTTGTTGACTTACAACAGCTTCTTGAACTTTTTATTGAACGTAATGGTTAAAGAATGAAACGCAAATGATTAATAAATTAATGGTAGAAACTTGAGATCACACTTCACGGTTTAGAAAAAAAAAACATACCAATCTGACCGTAGACATCACCATTTAATGAATGCAAAATCTTCACTAAACTTCAAAAGACATGTTATGCTGTGTTTTAAAAATTAAGACCCCTAGCTACCCTACGGGATGTTCCAAAATGTTTTGTGCTTCAATCCATGTTATTTTGCTAATTTCACAATCCATTTAAAATCATATAACTTTAATATGTCTAGTGGTTTCTATACCTGAAATATTTTCTCGTTTCTATAGGAATGTCTCTGCCTCATGTTCTGGTCTGTCGTGCTTCGGTTGACACTTGAAACCATATATGAAATCCACTTTCTCTAGAGCTAAAAAAAAAAAACACAGTTCATAGTGTCAAAAACTTAATCAACGCATAAGAAAATGAAAATATTTACCTAAAAGCGAAGCAAAAATTGGCATATTAGGGTTAGCTATGGCCGGTAGGTAAAGAATGAGAAAGACGAATGTTAAATTATGTGACTTTATTCCCACCAAAATAAAATAAAATTATGTGTTTAAGAAAAATTAAAGAAAAAAAAAAAGGTAAATGTCATACACTAATTTTGTGCTTGTATTGTTCCATATGCATTTGATATTTACATTAAGTTTTCGAGTCAAAATACATATGAAACAATAAGAGAATTAATCTTAGGAAATTATAACATAATTAAAAAATTGAGGTCAGTTGCCCCACTAAAGTGCCTCCACCAACTAATGTTTTCATACACCGATGTAGATGGGAAGATCGGGAACACTTCCAAAGTTCCAACATCGAAGGTATAATAAGATGTTGTGCCTCGACCACTGTTTTATTCGTCTCCCGCTCTGCCCCATAACGAGACAAATATATCTCCCCCGTTCAACTGGTTACGTATATGAGAATATATGATGTCCGGTACGAATTTAAATTTCTTATTTCAAAAATAAAATTCTTACATTTTTTCTGGCTTCATATATCTATATATTAGTTGAATAGTATAAAAACGCATAGGTACCATTTTATATTGATACTAACTAATTAAGTTTATTTCATAAAATATATTACACATCCCACGTTGCACATGCAAAATATCTATCTTAACATTTTTGGAGTACAATTTGAAAATTTGGATCGGGTCTAAATTAGTTTATATAACCCGGAATTAAGTAATCGGATACTACAACTAGAAAACATAAATGTGTTTAAATTTAATTTCCATAATCTATTAATCTAATTATTTATTATCTTATTATTGCCAAAAGAGATCGTAATCGCTTATACTTACCATAAATCTCGGCAGTTATTTCTAATTAGTCTATTTCGAAATTTTTATTGACATAAACTTCGTATTCTTAACAATATACACTTTCCAATAATACGAAACTATTAAAGCCAAGAACAAACACTTCTAAACATTCATAAACATGCAAAAACAGTAAATCAAATACAAACTATACTAAGAAAATTTAAAATTTAATGAAAATAAAAATAAAAAATTGACCCGTGGTGCACCACGGGGTAAATCCTAGTACATATGAGCATATTTGAAGACAATAATAAGCCAATCGTATCGGGTATATTCCAAAACGAAGCATAGTCCAAGCAGAAGCATCCAACGTGTTCATATTATTTAATAACATGTCGTAGTTTAATATTCATACTATATACTATATATTCGATCTACAAATATTAATTGATTGCTATTGAAGCTATACAGCGAATGTCAAAATCAAGGAAATTTATATGTTGTATATTAATAAGGTGAAGCAAAGACAAGGGAATTGATGTATCCTTATTGATATTTTAATATGTTGTTGACTAGAACATCCTTACTGATCCTGCTGCACAATTTTGAGCTTATAGTGCATATTTCAGATTAGTTAGTATATATATAATCTCTTTATTTATTACTTTCACTTTCTAGAATATATAACATTTTAAGCAAATACACACATATTAAATAATTATTTAAGTTTTGTTTATTTCTAAAGAAAACATCATTTATTATCTACTTAAACACAATTCCACCCATAAAAAAATAATCTACAAAATATAAATTGATAAAACAATAAAAAATATATTTAATTTTGCATAAGTTTGTGAAAAAAACATATATTTTAGAAAACATTAAAAACTTAAAAGATTATCAAAATTAAGCCCAAACCAAAGTTATATTTTATTTGTACCAGTTGCCATTTGATAACATATATCCATATGATATATTTCTGTGTAAGTTAATACTATTTAACATATTATTTCTTTTGTAAATGTTTGATGAAAGTATTGTTTCTTAGTTAATTTATATGACGGAGAATGAACATTTGCTATAAAAAAAAGGTACATAGCATACATTTGCTTACACTCAAATTAGAGGTTGATTTCAAAGTGATAAAAGAGTATCTTCCTTGAGTTGATATATATTACATGCTCTTTCCAAATCTCAATACTTAAGATCTAGTTGGAGCTTACGCGTAAGCTCCAAGAAGTTTTATCATCTTGGAGATGGTATTGTTCCTGCTTATAAGTTTAGTTTCAGCTTTTAGGGTTGCAAATCGTCTGAATATATTATTTTGGTTAAAAACATATTTCTCCTTTTTATGTTTGATTCGTGTTGCTTCGATGCTTGATTCGTAGTTGACATCCTCTTTCCCATTTTGATTTAAGTCTATATGTACCTCAGAGCGACCACCATGCTTTACGAGATCTATTTAGTTTGTTTTTTTCCTATAGATTAAGTGAAGACACATTATTTTTCGGAAAACAAACAATGTGGTGTGCCAGTGTTAGAGTTTTTGATAGAAACTTTCTCATGGTTGAATTGCCCCACTTAAATTTGGAGGGTTCCTCCTGATTCTAGACAATTTGGCATAAGTCATCTAATAATTCAATTCAAAATTTGGATACTGGCAAAGTTTTAATCTGTGACTAATTAAAGTATGTGATTCTTCCTATAGAAAGGTTGACGACCAATATAGAGCTATATCTACATGCTTGAGATGAAATCTATTTCTCATATATATATACAAGCCTCCCAAAAAGATATGCAGAGGTGTTATAGTGATAAATTTGTGTCGGTAGCTAGTCATCATTTCTTTTGGTATCCATGTATATATTGTCGTATAACTGAGAGTTTCTTTGTGAGTGTCACGTAGCCATGTTGATAGTGCTAGTCATCACGTAAATCAACATGATTTGCTCGTCTTTTTGTTACTCTCTTTAATGTTCTTTGTTGGAAGTAATGCCAAGTTCTTGCGTACGTACGTTCATGAGTTCCAAATGAGCCACCTCTCTATGGTTTGATTTAGCGGCTTTCGTTTTTACCAAGTGGGAGTGAGGATTAGGAGTTATTCTTTTCGTTTATTTTGGTGCTCTTTCATTCTTTGGGACTTCTCTCGTTTGATGATGATGTTGTGAGCTTGTGTTCAACGCTTTTTCGTTGGGTACCATGTTTGCTGAGAACTCATATATATAACTAAAGCATGAATTCGACTTGTTCATTTTTTTTTATAATTTAAATCTCCACTTAGCTTAGATAAAACACTTCTTAGCACCACATGTAATTTAGCTCAAGTGAATCTTGTAGCATCATGTCTTTGTCTAAAAGGTATTTGGGCCAGAGATCCCAAAAATGTCTACACAACTTGGATAAGATCATCTTCTACTCATGCGCGCTCTCCATTCTCCAAATGCTATATGTAAACTTGGCCACGTTATAATGGTAGATATGGCTCCAAGAAGTCAAACTCACCCGTACTAATTAATCATATTAACGTGTAGCTAAGCTATGATCAGGACTCGAAACATGTAACTTACAATTACCCTTGAAGGTCTATTAATCATATTCGATGTAGTAAAGAAAAATTAGCTAACATATTTTTGATGAAATATGTGCATATGTAAGTACATATATGATTGAGCCAAGATTCATACATATATTTTTTTTCCTCAGAATTCTAGCTTTGCGCTATACATATATATATATATGTATAGCATGTGCATCTATATAATTAATTAAGAAACTACTGTAAGTTATAGTAGACCTTAAAAAAAACGGCCACCTAATTCAGTATATATATATAGTACCTAATCATTTTATAAATCAACTCAAAGTTATGGAGTTTATATATGTTTTTCATTCCATGTTTTTTTTCTTAAACACTAAAGTTAAAGGCAAAATGCTGTTGACAATCCGAAGACATTCCTTAACTTGTTTCTTTCGACTTTATCGTTACTTTCTCAATGTTGACTATCTAGCTGTACTAACTCAAATCGTATAAAGTTTTGGAATTTTTCTCCCCTAAATCTACCACTAGATCACCATTTTTATTAGTTTTTGGCTATAACTTAGGGTCTTTTTTTTTTGAAATAACAATATAAAACAATAGTACATAAAGATGACATGTTACGTATCCAACAAAATTTGTTAAACGGTTTTCTTTTATGAATCAAACGAGGTGTGTGTTCGATACAAACTTATTTGCATGCACAAAGATAAAAAAAATTAAATTAAGAAACCAATTGAATCAGGTTCACGACGACGTGGTAAATGGTAAGCACCAAGAAAATGATGATGGAACTAGTAAAAAAATGAGGGTATTTATACATACATAGTTATACCTAACTAATTAATGAGATAATATCGTATCTAAGTAAAGCTATAAATAGAAGATTAACATATATCCTATACATAATATGTTCTTGGAAACATCATGTTATTTGAGAGATGCGAAAAAAAAAAAAAAAAAAAAAAAAAAAAAAAAAGAAAACAAAATACTTACCAATGAAAAAATTGGTATAATGTTGAGTCATAGTTTCTTCTGACTATGAATCTTAGCTAGCAAAATAAATTATTCATCTCGCTATATGTAGGATTCAAAAATTTAAGACATGATCATATATCCCTTACCCTCGTCCCCTCCTCCTAAGAGCTATACACGGT